AACGGGTAGGGCGAGAAGGACGATGAGGAGGAGGAGGAAGAGGACGACGCAGAAGCGGGAGAAGGGCCTGCGCCAGTCGAAAAGAAAAAGGGCGAATTAAATAGATTCACATGCGGGGTCCTACCGTCGGAGTAATTGGACACCAATTCGCATTCGAAGACCTTGTTGAAGTAGGATCCACGGGTCGGCGGTGATGCTAAGCCCTTGAATCCATGAATTAATCAGGCAATCAACAAATAAATTAATCAATCCATCGATGAATCCATCAATCAATCAATCGATCAATCAATATGCAATCAATTAAACAACCATCGCCATCATCATCAGCAGCAGCAGCATAATATGCAGCATCATCGCCGTCATCCGTCATCATCAACTGCAGCATCATCAGCATCATCATCAGCAGCATCATCAGCATTAGCACCATCAGCACCATCACCAATCATCTTTACCATCACCAGATCCACCACAACCACAAGCATGTAATAATCATCCACTTCACGCCTGGCTCACTCCTGCCCCGCGCGCGAGAGGGAGGGGCCTGTTCAGACCACTCTGGGACACGCGAGCCAAACATGAGACACCCAGCGGCGAGCCACTGGCTCTTCCCCCCAAGGGAGATGACGCGTTTCGCAAGCGCTTGCTTGGTGAGGAGGAAGGGATATATATATATATATATATATATATATATATATATATAAAAACACACAAAAAAAAACAAACAAAAAAAAAAAAAAAAAAAAAAAAAAAAAAAAAAAAAAAAAAAAAAAAAAAAAAAAAACAAAAAAAAAAAAAAAAAAAAAAAAAAAAAACTGGGCAGGTAGCTACCCGGGGAGGAGGCCCTAAACTCGGAGGCGTCCAAGATGAGATGAGACGAGACGACGCCTCGAGAGCGACCGACGCAACGAGACGGCGAGGGCAGCCATCCTGGCGACGTCGGACGGGGGGGCCTCGGAGGACAGAGCTATGGAAACACACGTGGCCTCGAGGTCGGCCCGCTTCACAGCGCAGTTCACGAGACCGCGAGCGGGGCGGCGTCAACCTTGCGCGCCAGCCTCTTGCGTGGGCCCACGCCTTTACTGGCGGGGGGCTCGCACAAGCGACGCAACTTGGATCGCCTGGACTGCCGAGCCCAGGCGCCGCAATTAGTACACACATACACTGGATTGATGCAGCCTGGATTGGCGGGGGATTGTCCTCCGCGGTCGACTGCGCCCAGAGCGCGCCCGAAGGGCTCACGCACCAAAGCACTGAGGTACACGGGCATGCCTCTACAACCAGACAAAGGCCTGTCATGCTCGCCACACGCTATGCACAAACACTGCATACACTGAACGCCGAGCACAGCGCGTCGCCACTCATGCCAACGAGCGCGCTGCACATGCACGCTGCGAGACGCTGCGCTCACACGCGCCCAGCGACGCTCACTGTCGAAGAGAGGAAGGACGGCTGCAGCAAGACGGACAAAGCTAGTGGCGATCCGCAACCCACCCCCCAGCTGCGCCTCAAGCTCAAAGGACCGGGGGGGCGTGCAGGGAGACCGCCTTCTTCGCGTACACGTCTGCTACGACGTTGGCGTCGGTCAATATCTTGGCCAACTCGGTGAGTGTCGAGTACTGTTCTGATGATCGATGGGCGCTCACATGCTGCACCGAACGAATGCGGCGAGAGCCAGGCATCTGTTGACCAAAGAGCTCGACGCAGCCATAGTGAGCACCTGCACGCAACTGAGCTTCAGGACTCCTGGATGATTCAATCACAGCTGCCATGTAATCCGCATGGACATCCACAGGCCGATCGGCCACCTGTCCAACGTATGCAAGCGAAAGGTGTTCGGCCAAAGCCGAGCGCTGAGGTAGAGAGCCAGGGACTGCTCCGAGCACCACACGGAGTGGCCTATCGCCCTGGGGGGGCCATCATCGCAATGGCCCAGCCTGCGCGACGAGCTGCATCAAGCAGGGGCCCGCTGCAAGAACCGTCAAACGCACATTCTGCTGCCGATACATCAGGGCCGAGGATCTTACATACCTCCTCAGGCTCACAATCTATCTCGCTGCCTGCATCGTCAAGGATGTGCACCTTCGTGCCGTCGTCAAGCGGCGGAAGGAGGCTCTCCTCATAGGCGAAGGCGCCTGTGACGTAGCGCAGGTCATTCGCGTTGTCACGGCCCTCCTGCACGAAGTGCTCGCTGATCTGGCTCTCGACGCGGGCGGCCAGCACGTCGGCTCTGGTGCAAGTGCATAGCCTGTGGTGCACTGTGCCTGCTCGGCCGCACGAGCAGAGACCATCCGTGTCCAAGCACACGTGCGAATGAGGAACTTCTGGTACTTGGTGTATCTCCTGGAGCGCTCACGCACTGCGCCCTGGATGAGGTCGAAGGTTACTCGGACTCCAGCTGGGAGGTCCCACTTGTCTGCCAGCTGGCGCTCGAGCATCCGCTTCATGGTCTGAGTCAGTAGGTCCTCAATCACTGCGGGCGTGAGCTGGTCAACTCGGACTTCCTGGTCGAGATGATCTCGCCAGAGGGCCCCGCTGTGGGCAACCCATCCAACACGCTCCAGGCACTGGGCTGCGCGCTCCAGCGGCCCTCGAGACTTTGCCCAGTCATAGGGCCTGCCAAGGTTGGTAACCGCAGAGTCCAACCACATGAGCAGATCATCCTTGGACACGATTGCCCTTTTCAGGCCGAGCGACGGCCTCCCACAGCATACGACTCCACTGCAAAACAGGAGCAATAGCCTGACGAATAGCTGGGTCACCGTCCAGAGCCAGCTTGGCCGTCGCAGAAATGCCTCCATGATATGGTTTGACTTGTCGTCCGTAAGCTCGCTGAAGCGCGTCAAGCTCAGAATTGGTGGCCCCATTGACCTCGACTCCGAAAGTGCAGGCAGGTCGCGCTCCAGTGCGGTAGATGCGACCAATTCGGAGATCCTTCTTAACTGGCATAGCTCGCCGGTACTTAGCAAGCTTCCTCATGCGCTTCTTGCGCCGATCGATGCGACTCCTCTGCTTGACTCGAACTCCTGCTGCCCTTCGAGCTCGACCAGCCGCGTAGTCAACTCCAAGGTAAGCCACTGCGTTCCTGACAGCAGCTTCAGCTTCAGCAGGGACTTGAAGCCGCTTGGCTACAGTGCGACCTATGTCGAGGCTGGAGGCAATAATAGCAAATTTGTTATTGATGCGAGAGCCCAACCTCTGAGCTACTCTCTCGAAGTCCTCTCCAGCGATGACGGCCTGCTCTACCACCGTGCAAGCATCAGCATGATAGACCCCGATGGCAGCGTCATCGATGTAGCTGGAGAAACTGGCCAGAGGATGCAGGTATACATGGGAATCATATTCTGCAAGGGCGTGAACTTTGATCGCAATGTCAGCGACCCCGTCGCCCACTGGCACTCCACGCCAAGCAAAGCAGGGGGCACACCCGTGGTGCCGTTGCGCTCTGATGATACGGGGGCCTCGCCGGAGGCGTCCAAGAGGGGGGCGTCCAAGAGGGGGGGGGGCGCAAACAATGGCCAGCGGCACGTGCGCGGCCGAGGGGGGGCCAGGCACGCATTGAAGTAAGAAGAGGCGCCACGAAATCTGGAGGAGATATGATGGCCCCTGCCATGCTACCCAACCCCCCCTAATCATCACCCCCATCGTGGCCGCCCACGATGAAAAAACACTTGAAACGCCAGAAAACGGGGGTGGGGCGGCCCACTCTCCGGAGAACCCCGGCCTCTCTGAGCCCGGGGGGGAGGAGCCCGCCCCGCCCAGGGGGTCGAACCGGGGAGGGGCCCCCCTGTCCAAGGAGAGGGGGGCTCGATCCGAGAGGAGGTCTCCCCCGCCCTTAAGAGAATGCTAGCAATGTCCGATGATGGCTGGATCTAGCTTTAATAGCATCCGAACCGGGCTCGAACCAACTCTAAAAAGTACCTTAGCTGGATCCAGCTCTAATTGAACCCTAGTAGGTAGGGCTCGATCCAGTTCTCATTGGGTCCTGCTAAAGCTGGACCCAACTTTCGTAGCATCCTAGTCGGGCTCGGTCCCACTCAAAATGAATCCTGCTCTAGCTGGATCCAGCTCTCACTGCTGACGCTCGATCCATCTCAAATAGAATCCGACTGTAAGTAGATACGATACAGCTCATATTGAATCCTACTAGGGCTGGATCCAGCTCTAATGGAATCATACTAGGGCTCGATCCAGAATAGAAGCATTCTACTGCAGCTCGATCTTCGTCGTCGTTGCCCGACTGCACCAGCGCCGGCGCTGGCGCTCGCCTTCGTCGGTTGCCACTGGGGACGGATGGAGGGTCCTGTCCCAGCCGGTTCGACGCCCCCCCGCCACCACAATTCAGCGGGCGGTGGGGGGGGGCCCAGTTCCAACCCCCCTCTGAGGGGGGAGGGTTCGAACACCCCCCTCCCCCTTTCACTTCAGGGCAGCCCCCCCACAGGTTCGAATCCACCCCCTGCCAGCGTCCACAGAACGCTCTCTTTCTCATATAGAGAGAGAGAGAGAGAGAGAGAAAAAAAAAAAAAAAAAAAAAAAAAAAAAAAAAAAAAACGGGGGGGAGAGAGAGAGAGAGAAAGAAATAAAAAAAGGGAGAGATAGAGAGAGGGAGAGGATGGAGAGAGAGAGAGAGGGGAGGGGGGAGAGAGAGAGGAAGAGACAAAGATGTTGATAAAGAGGGAGAGATAGAGAGATAGAAAAAAAAAAAACAAAAAAAAAAAAAAAAAAAAAAAAAAAAAAAAAAAAAAAAAAAAAAAAAAAAAAAAAAAAAAAAAAAAAAAAAAAAAAAAAAAAAAACAAAAAAAACGTGTGGAGATAGAAAACTATAGAGAAGAGAAAGGGAAACAGAGAGGAAGGGAGAGAAAGAGAGAGAGAGAGTGAGTGAGCGAAGAGGCCTTGAGCCGCCGACTTCGCAATGGCCTCCCGGGGTCGAGACTGCTGCACCCCAGCGGCGGCAGAGGCCAAACGACGGCCAAAAAAGAAAGCGGCGGCGACGCTCGCGGGGCCTCAGGCTCGAAGCAGCCGCTGTGAAACGTCAGGAGGACTGGCGGTTTGTTCGCCAGCAGCTGCCTTGCGGGTCGGCGGCGACGGCGGCGGCGACGGGGGCGGCGGCGGCCCGGGAACCGCGGGGTAGCCCAACAGGACAGAACAGCACGGACAAGGACAAGACAGGACGGCTGGAATCGTCCAAGGACGCACCTGCCAAGGCGACGCAGAGGGGAACAGCGGGGGCGGGGGATCCAGTTAAAGGAGCCTGGGACGTGTTTGGCCCAGCTGGGTCGGAGTGGGCGACAAGGGGGCAGTAGACGAGAAGATTGGCGAATCAGCTATACTTGGTTGGTTCTCCGAGTGCCTCCCAGCGCCGGAAGCGGCTATGCGTTGTCGATGGATGCGCCTGGCAGCGGGGCCGAGACCAGCTGCACGCAGCAGATGACGCAGTCCCCGTTCACAGACTGCCCCCCTCTCTCGTCCGCCCCGAGTGCAGCCTCCGGAGACTCCGGGGGGGCCCAGGGGCAAGCCCGACCAGCGACTCTGAGACCACCCTTGACGCGTTTCTGTCTGAGTCGTCGTCGTCGTCTCCGCCGCCGTCGTTGCTCCCCATCCTCCTCAAGCATTCCAGCCAGAGGGAAATCGAGCAACGTCGTAATCGAGTCGAGGGAAGCCCCTTTCCTTTGATCCCTCCCCCGCTTGGGGGGGTGGGCGGTAGGGGGAGGCGGGAGGGGGGGGAGCCCGGGGGGATCCCGAGGGTTGTGACCACTTCCGCCAGAAGGAGCAACCCTCCCTGTGAGAAGCTTTCCCATTCGATGTCTTACCTCCAAGGCACTTCGAGCTCACTTCTACCGCGTCTTGCTCCAAGAGGGCCTTGAGACAGCCCGAGATATCTCGAAGATGGCCCAAGGCACCAACAAGACGGCCTCACAAAACCCCGAAAGCCCCAAGATGGCTCCAAGAGAACCCCCAACAGGGCCCCAAGAAGCGAACATCACTGATGCTCATGCAGTGGTTCTAGGTTTTCACGTCGTCACCGTCATCGTCCTCCTCCTCCTCCTCCTTCTCCTCCTCCTCCTCCTCCTCCTCCTCATCCTCCTCCTCCTCCTCCTCTGCCGTCGCCGTCGCCGCCGCCGCCGCCGTCGTCGTCGTCGTCGTCGTCGTCCCCTTTAATGGCTGGCGCCACCAGCCGTAAGGCTGGCAGAAGATCCCCAACAGCTTTGCACACAGACGGTGGGGGACCATGATGGAGGGCCACGACGGGGGGGAAACGATGGGGGGCAACGATAGGGGGCAACCATGGGGGGCCACGACTGCGGGCAACGATGGGGGGCAACGATGGGAGGCAACGCCGGGGGGCAAGGATCGGGACTGTATGACTGTCAACACCTACTGACGACTAACAACGAACAGTTCGAAAAGTACGAACGACGAAGACAAACACGAATACTGTGAATACTAAGTCGTAGGCATTCTACGACTACGACCAGTACTAGTATCCCGAATCGACCTTGTTACTCGTCTTATGATGGTGTCAATGAGAACACACATGATGCTACTCCTACTCCTACTCCTACTCCTACTCCTACTCCTACTCCTACTCCTCCTCCTCCTCCTCCTACTCCTACTCC